TGCTTGCCAAAGCCCCGACCCCCTAAAGTAGCTAGTCCCCCCGCCCCGCGCCCCCAGCCCCGCTTTCTTTTCTGGCAGAGTGTTTGGTACTATCTGAAATCACGCACACCTGTTGTCTTTCTCCCACGGGGCTGGCGGTGAGAGCCGGCGCCTCTTCTGCCTCGTTCACCCCTGGGCTCCAAGAGCTAGGACGGGGCAGAGCACACGATCAGGGCTCACATACTCGCGACGCCTGACGTTGAGAGCGGTGTTCCTCTTGCTATCCCCCCATCAAGAAATACGCTTCCCAGGAGGCTGAGACCGGGCCCAGCTTGGTTTCGGATCCCAGTCTACCACGTGAGGCGCTGTGAGCTCTCACCTGTGACCCAGGTTCTGCGACTGTAGAACAGGATGACGCTAGTACCCGCCTCTCGATGTTGCTGAGAGGACTAAATGAGATCACTCATTTCTGGGTTTGGCACAGGGACACGCACAGAGTCAGTGTCCCCGAGTGATCGTATTACTCAGGTGTGCTCCTTCCCCTTTCTCTGCCCCCGGAAGCCTTTCCCTTCGCTGAACAAGACCACATCAGCTCAAAGCCACTTCCTCTTCCCAGACTTCTGCCATCGCCTGCCCTGCCCAAGCCAGAGTTAATTATTACTTCCTCCTCCTTGACTTTAAAATTGGCTGTTAATCTCCCGCAGCCCATCAAGCAAGGCCAGCATTTGTAAGGAGACTGATCTTGGGCGTTTCAGCAGCCTGTAAACTTTCAGGACCCAGAACACTGTGCCTCGGGTAGATACGGCATTGGTAGGCTTTCTCTGTGGTGCCAGGCAGGCACTTACCTACACACGTGGCACACTTTGGTTCAATTAGCCCTCTGAACAACCCTGTGAAGGAGGCACCATCACTGTCCCGTTAACAGAGGGGCAAGCTGGGAACCCTCCAGGTTGCCCAAACAATCCCCAGCTGGCACGCTTAACCACCACCGCATACAACTCCCCTCCCCCAGACATACGATTGAAATGCGGTACAATTCGGTTCATGAGCGCCTGGCTCCTGCGCTGGGTGCTGGGACCCTGGGCCTCAAGGAGCCCCCAGGCTGATGCTGGAGATTCTGGTGGCTAGGGACTGTCAGAGGCCAGCCCAAGGTGTGTGTGTGGGGAGGAAGGGGGCCCAGGCGGGGTGTCCTCTAAGGCCCAGGGTGGCACAGCCAGACTAACCAAATCCACAGAGCAGACCGTGCCCATAACCCTCCAGCCAAAGTCAGCCCTATCCGAGGCACAGGCTGGAGGCCACCCAAAAACTCTGCTGAGTGGCCTTACAAACAAGGCCAATAGAAGGGACACCTTAGGAACAAACTCCCCCCCCCCCCGCCCCCCATATCCCGGAGAGACGCAGCTTCTCTCCAGTTGTGGAAAATCACTGGGTGAAACGCTGCCACCTGGCCACCATGACCGTTCTCAGGGTAGATAAGGGGACGGATGTGGCAGGTCGGCAAGGGGCCAGCGTGACGTTGGTGTGCGGGGGTGTGTGTGTCACACATCACTGTGTGCTGCTGGGTGTAGGTGTCCACATCCTAGCTTCCACGAGGCCAGCTTGAGCTTGTCTTAGTCAGTATGTGTCGAAGGGGTGAATATGGGTGTGCTTAAGATGAAAATGACCAGCTCCCCAAGCGCAGGGACCAGCCTGATCCATTTCTGCATTGCAGGTGTTGTTGATGGCCACAGGGGCTGCCCTGTGAGTGTACCTGTGATGTGCATGTCGTGTGTGTGTATGCACCACTGTTTATTGTGCACCTACTGTGTGGGAGGAAACCCTGGTGGCGTAGTAGTTCAGAGCTATGGCTGCTAACCAAAAGGTCAGCAGTTCAAATCCACCAGGCACTCCTTGGAAACCCTATGGGGCAGTTCTACTCTGTCCTATAGGGTCGCTATGAGTTGGAATCGACTCGACGGCAATGGGTTTTGGTTTTTGGTACTAAGGTCCTTAGGTGGCACAAATGGTTTGTGCTCGACTGCTAACCTAAAGGTTGACAGTTCGAACTCACCCAGTGGTACTGCTGAAGGCCTGGTGATCTGCTGTTGAGATTACAGCCAAGAAAACCCTACAGAGCAGTTCCACTCGGTAACACAAGGAGCCCTGGCGGCACAGTGGTTAAGCACTTGGCTGCTAACTGAAAGGTCAGCAGTTTGAACCCGCCAGCTGCTCTGCAGGAGCAAGATGAGGCAGCCTTGGAAAACTTATGGGGCCGTTCTACTCTGTAACGGGTACTCTGTACCGCATGGGGTTGCCATGAGTAAGAATCAACTCCGTGGCAACTAACAAGAACTATGGACAAGGCACGATGCTGAACATTCCATACGCATAACGTATTTAATCCTCACAGCCACCCTATGCAGAGGGTGTTATTATTCCTCTTTCACAGACTGAAAAACAGACTCACGGGACTTACAGTGGGGGTCTGCTTGGGACTGGAGCAGAGGGCTCTCTGACACCTTGATTTCGGACTTCTGGCCTCCAGAACTGTGAGACAATACATTTCTGTTATTTTACCACCAGTTTGTAGGAATTTGTTACAGCAGCTCTAAGGAATAAATACACACCATTTGTTCCACTCCTAGGTATTCACCTGAGAGAAACAGAAGCATACGTCCATACAGAGACTTGTACACATGTTCATAACGACTTTATTTTTAATATGCCAAAACTGGAAGCAACCCAAATATCCACCAACAGGTGAATGACGGAGCAACAAACCAGGGTATAATCACACAATGGAACACTACTCAGCAAGAAAAAGGAACAAAATACAGATGCATGTAAGACCATGCACGAGTCTCGAAGTAATTCTGCTGAATGAAAAAAGCCACACAACAAAGAACCACTCTGTATCGTTCCACTTATGGAAAACTCTAGACCATGCAAATTACTCTTAAGTGACAGAACACAGATCAGTGGGGGTGGGGGTGGCGAGGGACAGGGACGGAGGTATTACAAAGAGGCACGAGGAATCTTTGGGGGTAGACTCTTGGAGGAGATAGATGTGTTGTCTTGATCCTAGTGTTGGTTTCATGGGGAGCATTATGGTGTTGGTGAAGAATATTGAATATACCATGGACTCCCAGAAGGAGGAACAAATCTGTCTTGGAAGAAGTACAGCTAGAAGGCTCATTAGAAGTGAGGATGGTGAGACTTCGTCTCATGTACTTCGGACAAGTTACCAGGAAGGACCAGTCCCTGGAGAAGGACATCATGTTTGGTAAAGTAGAGGGTCAGTGAAAAAGAGGAAGATCCTCAGTGAGATGGACTGACACAGTGGCTGCAATCACGGGCTCAAGCATAACAACGATTGTGAGGATGGTGCAGGACAAAAATACCTCGTCGGGGGGAGGGAGCTGTTGGCAAACAAATGTAGAAGGTGCCCATTATTGGTGTAAAATATGGGTTCAACCCGAGAAAGCCTGTGTTTTACCCATGAGACCAGATGTCTCTCCCAACAGAGTCTTACTGGGGACAAACAGGGACTAATACTTTCTAGGAAGATTGGAGACGCGTCACCAAGGAAGCTGAGTCCTGGCGCACAAATGGGTGGGGTGGTTATTCATTTGCTCACTCACTCGCTGCCCAAAACGTGTTTGCTCGCCTGGGATCCCTCAGCCTGGTTCCTTAGCTTTTGTATCACGAGCTGTTGCTAAGGTGGCTCCTTAGCTGGGAGTTCCGGTTTCCTGGAAGCCCTGATGGCGCAGCGGTTAAAGCGCTAAGCTGCTGAACAAAAAGTGAATGGTTCGAACCCACCAGCTGTTCCATGGGAGAAATATGTGGCAATCTGCTTCCATAAAGATTTACAGCCTTGGAAACCCTATGGGGCAGTTCTACTCTGTCCTATAGGGTCACTATGAGTCGGAATCGACTTGACAGCAATGGGTTTTTGGATGGACCTTGATGAACCAGGCCAGCGGAAAGAGGACAGGACTCAGATGGAGGCGGCCGCTGACCGACTAGTCTACTATGGGGTAGCTGCTGTTAGCAGAGGAAGCTCAGGTCACCTAGAAGTCTTGCTTTTCAAACAGGCAGAAGGATACCTCTGGGGTCTCTAGATACGAGCCAAGGGGTACCCAGATCCACAAAATAAATAGGAGACCTTCTCCACTGTGACCGTTCATTCCAGCACGAGTGGTGTCCACCTCACTGTGTGTTACGTCTGCCCAGGCAGCCTTCATCTTGCTGCTGGACTGGGAGCCCTTTGAGGCTGGTGGGGCCAGCTCTTTTGCAGATGGCCCAGCCCAAGGGGTCCTCAGAGAAAGCTGGGAAGGAACCTAGGCAAACGTGGCCTTGGAAATTGACCATTTCCACCAGCTCATTTTGCAGAGGCGGAAGCTGAGCCTCTGAGAGAAGGAGGTAACCGTTCCAGGCCACAGGACAAGTCTCCAGCAGAGCCCCCACCTTGATGCCCTACCCCAGGGCAGTGGTGGCTCAGTGGGAGAATTCTCGCCTTCTGCACAGGAGACCGGGGTTCGATTCCCAGCCAATGCACCTCATGCAAAGCCATCACCCATCTGTCAGTGGAGGCTTGCGTGTTGCTATGATGCTCAACAGTTTCAGCAGAGCTTCCAAACTGAGACAGACTAGGAAGAAAGGCCTGACGATCTGTTTCTGAAAATCAGCCAATGGAAACCTTATGGATCACAGCAGTCAATCCTCAACTGATCACGGGGATGGCAGAGGATGGGGCAGCGTTTTGTTCTGTTGTGCATGGGGTCGCCATGAGCTGGGGCTGACTCGAACCCTATCCTCCAGAGAAACAATCCAACCCCTCCGTATGACATCATCTCAGTCATTCATTCATCTACTCACTCATTCATTCTGTAAACGTCATTGAACTCAAAATCTTGGGAAGATTTTATTAAACTTTTTTTTCCTGCCACTGAACGCCATGCACTACTTCACCACAGGTCAAGCGAGCGCGTGAACGCCGAGCAGGCTGGTGGGGAATGCTTCCCTGATGCGGGGGGCTCAGCTCAGTCCTGAAGCTTGCTGGAATACACCTTGGCCCTGTCCAGGGGAGGCCCCCGGTTCACAGATGCGTCCGAAGGCTCTGAGGCTCCCAGGGACTTGGGGACGGCCTCCTGTGTGACCTGGGAGTCATGCACCGTTCCCCCGTCCGGACTCCCCGTGTCTCTGGCCGAGGGGTGAAGACAGCCAGGGTTAGGGAAGCAGACCAGACCAAACCCCTGCAGAGGGTCGGGGACTTCATACCTATACATTGCTTTCACAGATGGTGTCTTAGGCATTTCTTCTACTGACTGACCTTTCTGGAGCACTTACCGTGTGCCAGGCCCTGGGGATAAAGGAAGTAACCAGACCTGGTCTCCAAAAAGCCAGCATTGTATAGGGGGTCTTACAGATTGAATTGTGCCCCCTAAAAATATGTGTTGTGAATCCCAACCCTATGGGGCAGTTCCACACTATCACATAGGGTCACTATGAGTCAGAATCGATAGCAAACAAAACAACATACCTGTAGAAAAGGAGCCCTGGTGGTGCAGTGGTTAACAGGCTCGACTGCTACCCAGAAGGGCAGCCTACCAGCTGCTGCATGGAAGAAAGGCCTGGCAATCTGCTCTGGCAAAGATTACAGCCTAGGAAACCCTATGGGGCAGTTCTACTCTGTCATATAGGATCGCTATCAGTTGGAATCGCCTGGCTGGTACACAGCAACAGTGTTTCTTTGTTTGGTAATAGGACTTTCTTTGTTATGTCAATAAGGCCATATGAATGTAGGGTGTGTTTCAAACCAATCGCTTCTGAGATATAAAAAGATCAGGTTAAGCACAGAGAAAGAAGCACAAACAGAGGAGAAGACTGAAGATCGCCAAGGAATGGAGGAACAAAATTTTAAAAAAACCTGTTGCCATGGGGTCAATTCCGAGTCATAGAACTACCCCGTAGGGTTTCCGAGGCTGTGATCTCTATGGAAGCAGACTGCCACACCTTTCTCCCGCAGAGTGGCTGGTGGGCTCGAACTGCTGACCTTTCAGTTAGTGGCCAAGTGCTTAACCACTGCACCACCAGGAACAGAAGCTGAAAAGAGACAAGGACCTTCTCCCAGGGCCGACAGAGAGAGGAAGCCTTCCCCTAGAGCCAGTGCCCTGAATTTGGACTTCTAGCCTCCTGAACTGTGAGGCAATACACACCTGTTAAAGCCACCCACTGTGGTATTTCTGTTACAGCAGCAGTAGGGGACTAAGATGGGGGACAGACCGCGGCAGACAGTGACCACACAGTATGATGCATGTCGTGAGGACGAGGCGCAGTGGAAGCCAGGGAAAGGCTTCCTGGAGGAGGGGGCGGCTAACCTGGGTCCTAAAAGATGAGGGGAGAGCGGGGCAGAGAGGGGCAGTACAGGTGATGAGGGCAGAGTTCACCAAGGCTTGAGACAGGAAGGCGTGGTAGTGTGTCCGGGAACATGGAAAGCTGGGTGCAGCTGGAGCAGGGATGGTGGGGGTGGGGGGCACGGGGGGATAAATTGCAGAGCTTGGCGAAGCTCAGATAATAGGAGCCTTCATTGCCAGATTGGAGTCCCCGGGTGGTGCAATCAGTTATGTGCTTGGTTGCTAACCAATAGGTTAGAAGTTTGAGTCTACCCAGAGGTGCCTCGGGAGAAAGTCCTGGCAATCTACTTCTAAAAAATCATCCATTGAAAACTCTATGGAGCACAGTTCTACTTTGACACATATGGGGTCGCCATGAGTCAGAGTCAACTCAACGGCAACCAGTTTTTGGTTCAATGCCAGATTAAGGCACTGTCCAAAGGGAGGAGGGGCAGAACCACAGCCTCGCTGCTCCCAGGTCCAGACAGTTTAGCAGCTAATCTCATCTATTATTTGTGCTTTAATTAACTTCAGAGTCAGAGGGCAGCCTGATCTCCAAACTCACTGCCTACCCCAGACTCTACCCCTGACCCACTCCACATATCTTTTTCTGCCTGGCAAATTTCCACTTACCCACTTAATTTCACCTGCTCCAAGAAGCTTTCCTGTCTGTGCCCCCCAACTGGGACAGGCACCCCTCTTGATCTTCAAAGCCCCCTGGGTCTCCCTCCCTCACGCTGAGATTCATCTCTGCGCTAATGAGAGTTTGCTCCTGCTGTTCCTTCCTCCAGGAAGCCCACCCTGATGCTCCAGGCAGAGTCCACCCTATCCTCCTGTGGCTTCCCATGGCACCTTTGGGTGCCTTTAATCATCACCTGCTCAGTCCTCCCAGGTATTAGAGACCGTGTGTATACCTGTCACCCACCAGGCAGCCCTTTTAGCTTCTGTGGGACACCCCATGGGGACCTTCAGTCGCAGTCCAAAGCACACACAAAGCAGAAGGCGTCAGCGGAATCAGAAGACCTGAGTTCTAGTCCCAGCTCCATGTTAACTGGCCCTGAGATCTTGGGCCACCCTTCCCTTCTCAGGGTCCCCATTTCCCCATCTGTACTTTGAGAGGGTGAATTATAATTATAGAGACAATGAAAGCAAATACTTTAATTCTCAGTCACTGCCCTCAGGACTTTATAGGGATAAATTCATTTAATCTTCACAACTCCACGGGGTGGGCAGTGTTTCTTAGTATCCCCATTTCCAGATGAGGAACCTGAGGCACAGAGAGGGTCAGATACTTGCCCAGGCTTGCACAGCTGGGAAGTGACAGAGCTGGGATCTGAATCAAGCAGTCTGCCCACAAACCCCAGGTGCCGAGCCCTTGACCTGGAAGCTGAACTACTTGGCCTTGAAGACCCTCCAGCTTTGCAACCCCTTTCATCAGACCCCAGCCTCTCACCCCAGGGCTCTCCCCACCTCCAGAAGTCCCCCAGGATGGAGCATCTCTTTCCACAGCCCACCTCCCAGCTCGCGGTACTCACACAAAGCTGAGGAAGATGGTGCCCGCGAACCCCAGGAGCAGGAAGAAGGGCAGGGAGCCCAGAACGGACGTGATGACAATCATGCCTCCACTCCGCCGCCCCGGCCACATGTCAATCGCTGAGTACCGGGTGACTGCGTGGGGACAGCAGGCCAGTTACTCCCCACCCGCCCTGGTCACCGGGACCCCCAGGGATGAACCGGGGACCCAGTTCTGTGTCTGATCACAGGTTAGGTGCAATGATCTTGCTTGCCCCACATACCCCCTCCAGCTTTCTTCCATGTGTTTTCGTGTCTCTCCCTCTGTAGCTGTCTTTTTGCATAAATTTAAATCACAAACTGACTTGGGTCTTCTGTTGAGATGGGCGGATATGGATTATAAACGAATTAAACAAAGAGGAGGCAAAGGGCCCGTGTAATGGGGCCTGGTGGCCCTGGGCTCTTGCTTGTCTGTGGCCGGTGTCACCTTTCTGGGACTATGGGAACAATTCGTAGGTCCTACTATGAGCAGACACTTGGATGCAATTTCCCAGGCAGACCCCACAAAGATGACCATTTTGCGATCAGTTACTGCAGCTCGGGAGATGGGTCCCTGTCAGAGGACACGTGCTGAGCCCAGACTCAGCCAGGTCTGTCTGCTCCCAGAGCCCACTCCCCCTCCACAGGGTGGCCCTCGGGTCCTGCTGCAAGAGGCTGGGTGCTTCTGCCGGGAGCCCCCCAACAGCCCTACTGGGAGCCCAGGCAAGGACTCTTCTCCCCACTCTCAGGAAACTGAGAGTCACAAGGGCTCAGCCACAGTGAGGGCGGAGGCTGGGCTTGAACTCAGGACCCTGGGGCCCAGCTAGTGCTGTTTCAGTGGGGTCACAAAGTCACCACATGGAGTGTCACAGGAGGTGCAGGCTGGGAGCAGCAGTGGCTGGAGTCACCCTAGACACACACACTCACACACGTGCACGCACACACACCACACATACGCACAGCACATACACACACCACACATACGCACAGCACATACACACACCACACACACACACCACACATGCTCACACAGAAACATACCTGTGTACATACACATACATACACAGACCACACAATCACACATTGCACACGCACAAACATACCCATGTGCACACACACACGCATGCACACACACACTTGCACACATATACACACCACACACTCATACACATGCGCACACAGAAACACACCCGTGTGCACGCAGACACACACACATGCATGCACACACCTGTATACACACCGACACACATATACACACCACATACTCATACACTGCACACGCAGAAGCACACCTGTGTGCACGCAGCCACACACACATATTCATACACACACCCATATACACACCCACACACATATACACACTACACACTCATACACATGCGCACACAGAAACACACCTGCATGCACACACACCGCCCATCACGCACACGCATAGGCATACACATATGCATGCACACACACCACGCACGGGCACACACCTGCACACATGCACACATATGCAGCACCCACACACACCCCCCCTCTATGCCGCTCACCAGCTGTGTGATCTTGGGCAGCCTCTGGGGCCTCCACATGCCCCATAAGCAAATGGGGTGACAGGAGGCGTTACAGGTAAAACGCCTGGCCCCATGCTGGTCCCATCCTACCAGGCAGGATAGTCTAGGGCGCGGAGGTGTGGTGGGGGGGTCAGTTATAAAGTTAGGGTCACATACAGTCGAAATAGCCCTTGAGAACTCCTTCTGTGGCCCCTAACGTTCAGAAGCCGTGACCGTGTGCGTGTATAAACCCCAGGTCTGTGTTGAGAAGCGCGGGTGGAGGCCTGAGGAAGGCACAGGGCGGGACTCTAGGCAGGTACCAGGCATTGGCGCCCTCCCACCTCTTGGACGCCCATGCAGGCTCCAGGGGGCTCAGTGGGCGGAGAAATGGGCAGAGCCCCTCTGTCCCCGCCCCACTCCACTTGGTCCTAACATTAAGCATCTGGAACCATCTTACATGTCAGTGGGTATTTGTCATGAGGCTTAAACAAAGAGGCGGGTTAGGATCTAAATTTGGGATCAGCCACGTGCTTTTCTGAGGCAGTGCTCTCTAAGGGCTGGAAGACCCAGCTGGCTTGGACTCCAGGGCCCCCCACCCAGCTCACCCAACTCCAGCAAATCACCCACCTCTGTGACAACACCTGGCTCTCCAGAAGGAAGGAAGGGAGGCTGGGGTTTCAGGTTAAACTGTTTTCGGATGCATTTCACTCCTCTCTCCAGTGGGCTAAGTGTTGTTTCGGGAGTCTTTCCCGCGTGGCTGCGTGAGTCGTTGTCCCCATGTCATCTGTACAGGTCTCTGCCTTCCCCGGCTCCCCGGCGGGCCACCCCCTCCCTCCCACCCCTGCCACTTACGCCGGTTGGTGCGGATGGGGTCCGACCAGAGGGTCTGGTCCTGTACCAAGCCCGTGGACATATTGACGAGGACGTACTTGAACCTGGAAGGGGACAGAGTGAGGGTGACTTCAGTCCTGCAGGCTTGGCCATGGGAAAGTGGGAGGGGCTAGGGTGGCGCGGGGCAGGTTGGGGTGAGGGGGTACTTCCAGGAAATGGAAACTAGACAGCTCGCAGGTGGGCACCACCAGGACAGTGCTAGACCTCAGCATCGGGGCCTTTGCACACATATGACCACCCTGGACCCTTTCCCCAGCCTAGACGCCCCCTCCTCGCGAAGCCTTCAGAAGCGGGGGCCCCCTCTAGGCCCCCCCTCTAGGCGCCCCTCTGTCTCTCTAGCATGCACATGGCACTTGTGCTGCATGTTTGTTGACTATTAACCCGTTCGTCCTCCTGGCATTTTCACCTTCCACGATCCCAAGCCAGGCGCTTGGTAACATAAAAAGGACTTAAAAAAAACCACTGGGATAATATCCAGCCCATCCCCACTGTCCTGGGACAAGGGTTACATTTTAAATGCAGGAACCCCAAAGCAATCCAGCCTTTCCGTTCCTGGCGAGTCAATTCCGACTCATAGCGACAATATAGGACAGAGTAGAACTGTCCCACGGGGTTTCCAAGGCTGTAAATCTTTACAGAAGCAGACTGCCACATCTTTCTCCTGTGGAGCGGCTGGTGGGTTCAAATCACCGACCTTTCGATTAGGAGCCGAACGCTTAACCACGGCAGCCACCAGGGCTCCTGAGCAAGACTAATTACAAAAGAAGCCCCACAATACAGTACACAATAGCCATGGCCTACTTAACGTCTTAACCACAAACCAAAAACACGAAACCCATTGCTCTCAAGCCGATTCCGACTCTTGGCAACCCCATGTGTTACAGAGTAGAACCGCTTCATAGGGTTTTCTTGTCTGTGATCGTTATGGAAGCAGATCACCGGGCTTTTCTTCCATGGTGCCACAGGGTGGGTTCAACCTTTTAGGTTACTAGATGGGTGCAAACCATCTGTACCGCCCAGGGACCCATAAGTTCTTACAAGAAGTTGATTTAAAAGGACAGGTGTTTGGAGAACTAAGAAGTCTACAGCCTGCAGTTTAACACCTTAAAACATTAAAAAACCAAAACCAAACCCGTTGCCATCGAGTTGATTCCAATTCATAGCGACCCTATAGGACAGAGTAGAACTGCCCCTTGGGTTTCCAAAGAGCAGCTGGTGGATTCAAACTGCCAACCTTTTGGTTAGCAGCTGAGCTCTTAACCACTGTGCTACCAGGGCTCCCTTAAAACATCAATATCTGTAGCACCCAGTGATTAGCTTAATTTGCTGGGTCTGTGGTTTGAAGGTGAGGATACCGGAGCCGGTGCTCTGTCCCCTGTGTCCGCAAGGTAGGGGGACGTAGAAATGAAGCCGGATGAGACTCTGGGAAGGCAAGCAAGAAGCGTGCCTTTGAGATCAAGGAGGAGGGGGAGATTGTCTCATACTAAGAGCAGGATCAGAGGTAAGGGGTCCAGGTGGGGTGAGGAGAGCAGAGATCTTGTTCTGCCCCGTGGCTGAGTTCAACGGAGGGGCAAGACCTCTGAGAGGACATCAGGTGGGCATGAAGGGGGGCCTGGAAGCTGCAGAGACCCCCACCTGCGTACCTCCATAGCAGGTGAAGGGCACACCCTGAGGCCTGACGGGCCTCCCCAATGCTTTGGCACTAGGTGAGCTCCCCTGGGAGTCTGAGTGGGGCCAACAGTTAACACGCTCAGTGGCTAACTAAAAGGCTGGAGGTTTGAGTCTACCCCAAGGCACCTCAGCAGAAAGGCCTGGTGATCTACTTCTGAAAAATCAGCCATTGAAAACCCTATGGAGCACAGTTATACTCTGACACACATGGGGTCTCCACGAGTCAGAATTAACTTGGTGGTAACTGTTTTTTTTAGGCCCTCTGGCCATGGGTCAGACCCCAAGCTATTTACAGAAAAAACACTCCAGAAATGTGTGTGGAGATGAATCTGGGCCGCTGAGGTAGGGGTGGGCAACAAAAGGCAGAGGTGGAGGGGGGTGGCGCAGAGCAGAGGTGAGGTAGGGGTGGGCAACAAAAGGCAGAGGTGGAGGGGGGTGGCGCAGAGCAGAGGTGAGGTGGGGTGGACAGGTCCTCAGGGGCTCTGGCTCCGGCTGGGTCACAGCTTTTCACTAGGCGACCCCGCCCCCCTCTGACCAGTCTCCTTCCCTGTAAAGTGAAGGGTTTGGATGGATGATTGCATACACGTGGTGGGACTACATCATTGCCAATGAAAATGTGGCCCCTTGTCCCAAAACAGCTAAGACTTTCAAGACGGCAATGGCTGGGCATTACAGCAGCTGGGGTCCTCCTGCACGCTGGGCCCTGTGGGCCTGCGCGGGTCACAGACCCGGGAAGCTGGCTCCGCAGGGGACCTGGGCCAGTTCTGGCACGTAGTAAGCCCTCCAGAAATGTGGCCCCCTGGGTCTTCCCGGGGTGAGGGGTCGGGGAGGGGAGGTAGGCATCACTGCCACCCCCCGCAGCTGCTCAGACCCACCTGTATTCCGTGGCCGCTGACAGGGGCGGGTTGCAGAGGCCCTGGAAGTTGGGGTCAGACAGGCAGGTCCCGTTGGCGCCCACCCTGACCAGATATGTGTTGAGTATCTCTGAGGCCTGGGACGCATCCCCAGCGGCATCCAGGCTGGGCAGGTCGCTGCAGGGCTGCAGGGCAAAGGCCGCGGCCTTGTAGGGGGCTGTGCGCCCACCCTCCGTCTGCCGGAACGTCGAGCTCAGCGGGACACCGGTGCGGTCCTGCACCGAGGCGTTCCTGAAACTGGCTGCCGGGGCAGTGTGGAAGTGAGGTCCTGGCCGCCCCAGCGGAGAGTCACTCACTCAGTCTGTCATCAAACACTCCCTGATCCAACAGTCTTCTTTACAGAAATGAAAACCCCAAACCTCAACTTTGTTGGAATGGCAAGAGGCCCTAAATAGCTAAAGCAACGCTGAAAGAGAAGAGCAAAGTAGGAAGACTCACACTTCCTGTTTAATCATACTGTACAGCTACAGTAATCAAAATAGCCTGGTACTGGTATAACAATAGACATACAGACCAATGGAATAGAATTGACAGTCCGGAAATAAACCCACACATCTATTGTCAACTGATTTTTGACAAGGTTGCAAAGTCCATTATTTCATGGGGAAAGAAGAGTCTCTTCAATAAATGGTGCTGGGAAAATTGGATTTCCACATGCAGAAAAATGAAACAGGATCCAGGCCTCATACCATACACAAATAAATTCAAAATGGATTAAGGACCTAAATGTGCAAACTAAAACCATAAAATTCTTAGAAGAACAAGCAGGGGCAACGCTGTCAGGCCTAGCTTTCAGCAGTGGATTATCTACTGTAATAACGAAAGCACAAACAGCAAAAGACAACATAAATAAATGGAACCTCATAAAAATTAAAAACTTTTGTTCATCAAAAGACTTTACCAAAAAAGTAAAAAGACAAGCTATCGACTGGGAGAATATATTCAGAAACCATATAAATCCGACAAGAATCTAATAACCAAAATATATATAAAACTTTGACAACGTAACAACAAAAAGACAAATAACCCAACTGTAAAATGGACAAAGGACTTGAATAGACATTTCACCAAAGAGGACATTCAAATGGCCACCAAACACATGGCAAGATGCTCAGCGTCATTAGCCACCCAAGAGATGCAAATCAAAACCACAATGAGATACCATTTCACTCCCACTAGGATGGCTAAGGTAAAAAAAAAAAAAAAAACAGACAATAACAAACTTTGGATGTAAAGAAATTGGAACCCTTATCCATTGCTAGTGGGAATGCAAAATGGTACAGCCGTTGTGGAAAACAGTTTGATAGTTCCTCAAAAAACTAAAAATAGAAATAGCATAAACCAAACCCATTGCCATCGAGTTGATTCTGACTCATAGCTACCCTAGAGGACATCGTAGTACTGCCTCATAGGGTTTCCAAGTCTGTAAATCTTTACGGAAGCAGATTGCCACATCTTTTTCCCATGGAGTGGCTGGTGGGTTCGAAACACAGACATTTCAATTAGCAGCTGAACACTCATCCACTACACCATCAGGGCTCCTCAGAACTATCATATGACATAGCAATTCCGCTCCTAGGTATATGCCCAAAAGACTTGAAAGTAGAGACTTACAAAGAGACTTGTACACCAACGTCCATTGCAGCACTATTCATAATAGCCAAAAGGTGTAAATAAATGCCCATGAACAGATGAATGGATAAACAAAATGTGGTACAGACATACAATGGAATAGTACTCAGCCAGTATGAGAAATGAAGTCTTGATACATGCTACAGTATGGATGAAGTTTGAAGACATTATGCCGAGTGAAATAAGTCAGTCACAAAGAACAAATATTGTATGACCTCACTTATATAAAAATACAAGAAAAGGCAAATGTATAGAGACCAAAGTTTATTAGTGGTTACCAGGGGTAGGAGGGAGGGGGAAAAGAGGGGTTAAAGGTGATGAAAAAATCACATTGATTAAGGGTAGGGTTGTACAGCCAATTATTGCAATTTCTGTCAATATGTTGTACACCTGTAAAAAGTTGAACTAGCAAAAGTTGTGTGATAGATATATTTACAACAATGACCAAAAAAAAAAAAAAAGCTGCTGAGGCTGTTTATGTACAGCCAAACACTTCATGGGATTTGGTTCCTCGGTTTGGAGGTTTAAGGTCATGGTTTCATGGGACATCCTAATTAGTTGGCCTAATAATTCGTTTAGTGTTTCTGTTCTGCCTCCTAGTTCATTGAATAGTGCCTGCGGTCTTAAAAGCTTGCAAGTGGCCATCCAAGGCACAACAATTGGTCTCTATTCACCTGGAGCAGCAGGAAGAAGGAAAGTCAGGAATAGGAGGAGGATATAGAACGTGAGGCTAATTGCCTCCATGAACAACTGCCTCCTTTGTTATGAGACCAGAAGAATTGGATGGTGCCCGGCTACCATAACTGAACATTTTGGTCAAAGATTACAGAGAAGAATCCTGATTATAAGGGGGAAAATGCAGAACAGAATTTCAAAGGCTCATGGACTCCAGACTTCTTAGAGCCATAAAGGTTGGATGAACCCCTGAAACTATTGCCCTGAGATAATCTTTAAACCTTAAATGAAAAATATCCCCTGAAGTCATCTTAAAATTGAACAACAGTTTAACTTACCTAGCAAAAAATGTCTGCCTTTAGCATTATGCTCTTTTAACAACAATCTCTATGGGATCCAACTGACAACAGCAACTTGAAAGATTAGACAGGGACCTTAGGGGGCAGTGAGTTTATGTTAATGAGGAAGGAACAGCTCAGAAAAGGAGGGTGAGAATGATTGGACAACTGAAAGAATGTAATCAATGTCACTAAATTGTACATATAGAAACCACTGAACTGCTGTATGTTTTGCTGTATATATTCTTAACAACAACAAAATAAATAAAATTTAGGAAAAAATCATGCTCCCTGAGCAGGCGCTGTGTGCCATCCTGTGCCGGCACTGGGTCACAGACACGAGCAGGCCCGGTCCCTGCCCTCCAGGGCTCCTAGTGCAGTGGGCAAGGCCCCTCCCCCAGGAGCACCCCCTGGCTCACATGCTGTGTCCGGGTCTCACTGACCTTAGCTCGTTACATTCCTGTGACCCCCACCCCATACAGCTTTCTCACTTCTTTGCTGAAAGCCTTGGTTTCCTCTTCTGTAAGACGGGAAAGCAGGGCCACCTGGTACAGGGGAATAATTTGGAGGCAGACAGACCTGTGCTGGGTCTTGTGTCTCTCCCTCACTAGCTGGATGATCTTGGACAACTCACTTTACTTCTCTGGGCCCCATTCTTCTCGTCTGTAAAATGGTAGGAAGATGTCCCACAGTGCCCACAGGCTGGGCACAAGTAGGCATTCAATAAATGGTTGCTGAAAGGTAAAAGGATGCCCCTGAGTGGGCTGCTGGGCATCACTGCTTGCTGTAACTGAGTTCCTCCTCTCGGAGGACCAGGACACTGCCCGTGAAGGGAGAAGGGCCGGCTCCAAGTGAGCAGGTCCAAACGCTGGCCCTGACCTTGCAAACACCGACCTGGAACCACCTTGGGAAGCCTCAAGAAAGACTTGGGTTTGAGGACCAAGGAGATCTGGATTCAGATTGAGCTCTGGGAGCCCTGGTGAGTTACTCCACCCCTCTGAGCCTTGATTCCCTACTCTGCAATGGGGATCAGTAATAGTCCCTGGGTGGTGCAAACAGTGAACCTGCTCAGCTGCTAACCCAAAGGTTGGAGGTTTGAGTCCACCCAGAGGCACCTCAGAAGAAAGGCCTGGTGATCTACTTCCGACAAATCAGCCATTGAAAACCCTACAGAGCACAGTTCTACTCTGACGCACGTGGGGTCAATGTGACAGCAAGGTCTGTAGTTACCTTGCAGGCTGGTTGTACATATTAGCTCTAAGGTGTCGCTATGAGTCGGAATTGACTCAAAAGCAACCGACAACAAAAACAAGGTGTCAAAGCACCTGGCATGACGTAGGTACTCAGCAGTGATGCGATTATTATTATTTCTCCCAGGAGACGAAATGCCCCTCAAGAGCAGGTCTGTGGCCCCAGCGCCGAGCCCAGTGCATGCTGGTGGAGTGAGCGGGATAGCTAATCACAGGGATGGGGCCCACCTCTGCCTGCCTCTTCCCCTCCTCCCTGCAGACAGGAGCAGTGCCCCGGCCCAGAGCCTCAGGGGACGGGAAGACCCTTACGTGACTCAGCCAGGACATAGAGGTAGACCTCGTAGGTGCCAACGAGGGCAGCAGAGCTGTCAAACATGCAGAGTGGCTTCTCCAAGGCCACAGTGGTGAGTGTGGGGTTGTTGGTGACGAAGGTCATGCTGGCCAGCTGGGGCTGAAGGTCCACAGCTGGAGGAGGCAATGGGGATGGGCGCTGAGCCCTGGCAGAGTCGTCCACACCTATGGGCAACTCTGCCCATGGACACACCAACTTGTCTGTGTGCAGTTACTGAGCACCTGCTGTGGTGGCCAGGCTCACCAAGGGCCATCTCATGAGCTGGTCTCAGAGACGGCAGCTCCCCTGCCCTCACCCAGTCATCCAGCCAGAAACCGGGCAGTCCAGCCCAACTGCTCCTCTACACCCTGCCCCCCCTCCCCAGTCATTCTGTCTCCAAGACTGGGCCACTCCTCCCAAGCATCTTTCCGCCCCATCAGCCCAGTCATGGCATACCCACCCCCTTCACCTAGACCCTAGTAACAGCCCCTGAGTCCACCCAGAGGCACCTGCCTAACATGCATATCTGGCTGTGCCACTCCTGCTCTGCCCTTCTGGTTCTCCACTGCCCCCTGGATGCAGTCTCTCCGGACCGGCTATGAGATGCAGCCTCACCCCTCCAAACGCCCCCTCGCTGCATGCACACACACACCCCACTGCATGCTCTGGCCACACGGATGGACAACGTGCAGCTCCCAGGACCGCCCACGCTGCCTCCAGCCCCCTGACCTTGCCCGTGCTGGTCCTTAGCCTGAAATGTCCCTGGGTCCCCCTAGTCCAGGCAGCCCCATGAGCCCGGCACAGCCCCTTCTCTGCTCTGCCACAGCCCCTGCGTGTCCTTCTCTCCCAGGGCCCGTTAGAGGCTGGAGCCATCCTGAGCCCTCATCCCCACGGGAGGAAGCTCAATAACCGTTTGCTATTGTTACTATTATTATCAATACCTAGGTGTCCAGCACCTGCACAGGACCTGGCCCAGCCCAGGCATCGTGCCCACCGCTGGACTGAATAAACCAAGTCCCCAAGGCCCCTTCCCATCCAGGCTCCCCGGGAAGGTCAGGGTCCCAGCAGTGCAGGCAGGGCACCCGCGCCACGACACACCTGCCCCCACCTGGGCGCAGCCTCTCCCTCGCACCCCGCGTACCTGAGCCGAGCCACAGGCAGCCGAGGGCCAGCAGGGCCCAGAGCGCAGACATGGCCCCAACACCCAGCGGCCGCTGGTCCAAGCGAGGTCTCCGCGCCTCTCCGCGGCGCCCCGCCTGCCCTGGGCCTTCGGCGCGCCCCGCCCCGCCCGCGCCGGCCAATCCGCGGCCTCCGAGCTGGATATTTGCATACGGCTCCGCCCCGCCTGTCCTGGGCTATCCGGGCGCCCCGCCCCGCCTCGCCCACGCGGGCCAATCCGCGTCCTCCTGGAGGGATATTTGCATTCGGCCGGGTCCAGGCTCTCGCGCTCACCGCACTCGAGGGCTCACATCCCTCCGCGCGGGACCTTTCCCGCGCCCTTACCGAAGCGCCTACCTTGTGCTAAGGCTGGGGCGGTGCTTTCACGACATCGCTTGACTAATTGGACCTAGGGACAAACCACCCTCTCTTTGAGCCTCAGTTTCCTTATTGTAAAATGTTGGTAGCTGCTGTAGAGCCGCCAGACTCATGGTTACCCCATGCACAACACCCATGACGGGTTGTGGATGGAACCGCCGTGATCTATAGCGTTTTGAAGTAGATCGCCAGGCCTTTCTTCCTAGTCTGTCTTAGTCTGGAAAAAAAACTCATTGCTTTTGAGTTGATTCCTACTCATAGCAACCCTGAAACCTGCCTGTTCAGCATCACGGCAGCGCACAAGCTCCCCCTGACCAATGAGTAGTGGCTGCGCGGGAGGTGCGTTAGCCAAGAATTGAACCCGGGTGTCCCGCATGGAAGGCAAAACTTCTACCACTGAACCACCATTGCCCTCATACTATAAAATAGGGGCACTAATTCCTACATCTATTTATTGACTCCCTACTATGCCCCAGACACTCGCTGGGCTCTTGTGAAGGAGAAAAGGGTTAACTGGTGCAAGTGCTCCATGGAAACCCGAAGTCCTGGGTCTGTGAGACAGCCGGCCCGCTCTCAATGCACACAGGTGCAAGGCCAAGGCCCAGGGAGACCGGGGAGGGGCAGGGACCCGCCGAGGTCCCTCCTGGACTCCCTCAAAGTGCAGACCAGGCTTAGGCCGTTTCTAAAGGGATGGGACAGGGTTTTAAAGCCTGCTTCCTGGGATGCAGGGAGGGGGCTCAAAATAGTGGTGAGGGCTCCTGATCTGCACTAGATGATCTTCAACGTGCCTTCCAGCACCAGGAATCTGTGTATATCCCCCCAAAATAAAACAATAAAAAAAAAAAAAAGTTGCTGTCAAGTCGATTCCAACTCACAGCAACCCTGTAGGACAGAGTAGAACTGCCTCATAGGGTTTCCAAGGAGTGGCTGGTGGATTCCAACCGCTAACATTTTGGTTAGCAGCTGAGCTCGTAACCACTGCACCAGCAGGGCTTGACACATCCCCCAAGGGACCTTAAATAGAGTTTTACACTGAAGAAATAAGAGTAAACCAACAAGGATGGGGACAAACTAAAATTGAAATCGAACAGAAACAAGTGAATCTGTGTATGACATTGATCACGTAACTATGTGCAGAAAAAGAAAAAGACCATCCATCACCTGAGTGACTTTGAAACCGGGTTCTCTGTGCTCCCTAGGTGGGGTGTGTTCTGAGGATAAAAAGAACTACAACAGAACCCTGAACTTCTCGGCGAGTTTGTTGTTGGCAGAGGGAAGGGCAAAGCAATTCTGAACTGACATCGTGGTCTGTAGGAAAAAGCAGTCAGACCAGGCTCTCACTATAGGACGAGGGAGATTTGCAATGGAGGAAGGAAAAGAACTCTGTGGTGTTTGGGAATTTCTTGTTCTTGTCTTTTTGAATTGAGTCCCTGGGTGGCACAAACGGTTAAGCACTCGGCTGCTAACCAAAAGATTGGTGGTTCAAGTCCACCCAGAGGTGCCTCAGAAGGCCTGGAGATCTACTTCTGAAAAATCAGCCATTGAAAACCCTATGGAGCATAGTTCTACCCTGACACACGTGAGGTCAGATGAGCCGGAATCCACTCGATGGCAACTGGTTTGATTGTTCGGTTTTAGTATCATTATGAAATTTAAAAACAAATAACTTGTTAGCACTGTCCATTGAAAGGGCTTAGAAGGAATGACATCCTGTTGCAAGGAGCACTCTTGGATTCTTGGCACTGTGGCTCCTTGGAGAAATGGCTGCCTGCAGGGCTGGAACAGGGATGGTCAAAGTGAGACTATATCAGTTCAGAAAGTAAAGAAGTACTCCAATTATGCAACGAACTATCAAAGGAGCTAGCACAGAAGAACTTGGAGGGCTCCGCTGGCCAAATCTGGGAACATCTGAGCACAGGACAATTAACGAGAGTAAAAGACTGAGCCCACTGAATAGGATATAAATCCACACGTCAACACTGATACTTCTAAAAATGCTTTTAAAAAGAGAGACGAGAAGAGAATACTTTTCCTTAAAGAAGACCAACTAATAAATGTAGAAAGAATGTCTAAACAAAATCACCATCTTCCAACCACCCTGCTAATAACTGACTTGAGAAAGAATCATCTCAGTGGATGCTAAAACCATTGGGTGAAAGATTCTGAGGGAACAAGATATTCAGGAGCCTGGGGGACACCAGCTTAGCCAAACGATCAAACCTAACGTCACCAGTAATGGGGTCAATACCTCATGTGCTTCCTGGTGTTAGACACCGAGAAGACTCAACGTCATCTATGTAGTGTTCCTGCCCAAAAAGTTGAACCCAACTCTAATCAACAGGAAGACCAAAAACCACTTGCTGTCAAGTTGAATCCAAGTAATGGCAACCCCATGAGTGTCAGGGTAGAACTTCACTCCATAGGGTTTTTGATGGCTGGTTTTTCACCACGCCTTTCTTCTGAGGAGGAGCCCTGGTGGCACAGTGGTTGAGAGCTAGAGCTGCTAACCAAAAGGTCGGCGGTTCAAACACACCAGCTGCTCCTTGGAAACCCTATGGGGCGGTTCTACTCTGTCCTATAGGGTCATTATGAGTCAGAATTGGCTCGACAGCAATGGGTTTGGTTTTTAGTTTAGTTTTGTTTTTTTCTTCTGAGGCGCCTCTGGGTGGACTCAAACCTCCAACCTGTGCACCATCCAAGGACCCTAGTCAACCGGAAACACAAGACAAAGCCAAACTGAGGGACTCGCTGCAAACCAGCTGGCCTGGGCGCTTTTAAAACATTAATATCAGGAAAGACAAGAGGGAAAACCAAACCAGACAAAAGGCTGAGAGCTGCTGCAGCTTGAAGGAGGCTAAGGAGACTTAATAACCAAATGCAGTGAGTGCTTCTTGATTAATTCCTGGATAAAAACAACCAACCAACCTATAATGAGCGCTACTGCTATTAATATGACAATGAGAGAAATTTGAATGTGTTAGTAAAGAATATTGCAGCACCAGAAGAATGAACGGATCAGCCTTAGAAGGAATACAACCAGAGTGCTCCTTAGAAGCAAGGATGGGGAGTCTTCGTTCAGATTCCCTTGGACACGTCATCAGGAAAGATCAGTTACCAGAAAAGGACATCATATTTGGTGAATTAGAGGGTCAGCAAAAACCAAGGAGACCCTCCATGGGATGACACAATAGCACAGCAATGGCCTCAAACACATCAAAGATCATGATGATGGCGCAGGACCAGGCCACCTTTCATTCTGTCCTATGTAAGGTCACTGGCGTCACTCGGGGAGGCGGGGGGCATGCTGGGGGTGGGGGGCGGACTGCACCAGATGGCACTGTCAGGGGGAGTGACACCAAAATGACTCTATAAAATTTTTGTGTAGTGTTTCAGCCCAAATTTATGATTTTTTATTAAAAATCCCTGTAGTTAATAACAAAAAAATTTTTTTCATAAGCCCAGCTTACATGTATCAGTATACCTACAAGGCTAAAACTCTGTGCTAACTTACTTTTTGAACCTTCTAACGAGCTCCGGTCAGAGCTGTCATTATTACCCAATTACAATGATGCTTCGAATCACACGTTTTCGCTATGAGCACACGCTGTTGTTTTCCTTGCTGCCAGTGTTTTTACTGTCGCTGATTTGTCAAATGTTCTGGTGTTTTAGCTACAATATTGTAGTGATCAGCAAGGGGGGGTGACACCATGAGTTACCACACTGGTTGGTGACACCAACCCTAGTGACGCCACCGTATAAAGTTGCCGCGAATCGAGCCAGCTCAACAGCAGCTCACAAAGGCAACAAATTAGATAATAATATTGATTAGAAGTTAAATTTCCTGAGTCTGATCGTTCTATTTGCTTATATGAAACGAGACATGCGCTGAAGTATTTTGGGGGAAGCGTCACATACCTAAGGAGCCCTGGTGGCACAGTAGTTAAGATCTCAGCTGCTAACCTAACCCACCAGCCCCTCCGAGGGAGAAAGATGTGGTAGTTTGCTTCTGGCAAGATTTACAGCCTTGGAAACCCCATGGGACAGTTCTACTCTGTCCTATAGGGTTGCTATGAGTTAGAATCAACTCAATGGCAATGGGTTTTATTTTAGGGGGTTACATATCTGCAATTAACTCTCATATATACATACATTTGTTGTTGTTAGTAGTCATTGAGTCGATTACAACTCATGGCTATCCCGTGTGTGCAGAGTAGAGCTGCTCCACAGTATTTTCAAGGCTGTGACCTTTCAGAAGTATGTCGCCAGGCCTGGCTTCTGAGAAGTCTCTGGGTGGGCTTGAACTGCCAGCCTTTTGGTTAATTAGTTGGGTGCTTAACATTTTGTGCCACCCAGGGATATACATAGATACATATACACATACATATATATCTCCATACATATATACATATATACTTATACATACATATATACATGTATACATACACACATATACATATATACATATACGTACATACATATATACGTATACATACATACATACATATACACACATATACATATACATACATAAATACATATATACACATATACATACACGCATATACATATATACATATATGTACTTGGATATATACATATACATACATACATATATACACATATACATATACATACATATACATATATAGATATACGT